TTTACAATGGTAATTTATAAATATTAGTTACATCTTCCCACTTAAACCCCCCCAAATAGATGATTTTAATCATACTTATTGATATTATCTACATAATTATTTTTCATTATGCAAATATGTCTCAACTGCTGTGTAATAATGTGATGGAAACAGTATTCAGTGCTTTAAAACACTTGCTTCACTAAATGCAGGAGAAAACGGAAAACTGGTGTGAAAACCAGAAAAAAATGGGCAGATTTTTTTTTTAACAGCAACAGTGGTTTTATATCTTTAATATTTTATATTTTGAAATCACCTAAAAATTCAGTAAGCTATGTAAATGTAAATGAGCAGTAATGACAGTTTAAGCTTTTATAAAATAATGATCTTTAGTCATGCTACTTTCTATCCTTGGTTAAAAATGACACTAGATTAAAATCTGATTTCTAGTAAGTGACAGGTTTTGTTACTTTGTATATTTGAAAAAAAAAAAAAGTAAATAACCAGCTGCTAATTCACGTACATTTCTTAAAACATCGAGATTGTCTTTTCCCAGGGAGAAGCGATATCCAGTGTAAGAAGATTCTGAAAAGTTTATTTGAAAGTATAATTGACAGAGCATTAAAAAAATAATTGACATTCAAAAATAGGTTTCATTTTAAGGATTCTTCTGCTTGGAATTTAAAGATTGTCAGGAGAAATATAATTAAGGGGGTTGCTCAGGACAAAATTACAGCATTAGATCTAAGTTTTCTGGCTTTTCAGTGTAACTGTATGATTGTGAGCTTAAATAATGTAGGCAATGCTTTCTTTTGTCAGAATAAATTATTATAATTTCTAGCACTTGGTAACTTGCAATTTGTTCTTGTAGTTTTTTTTTTTTGTGTGGATAGTTAAATAAGCAAATAAGACAGCTTTGATTATTTTTTTTTTGTATGAGGATTGTAATGAATCCGGTGGAGTTTTAGTTTTAAAACAAAGTAAATGGTTATTACTCTTGCTGAAAAAACCCCAAGACTGTCTGAAATAGTTTATTGGATATATGTTCTCAGTGCACTTTTCTTATAAAAGATTGCTTTAGTGCTTTATTGTTTTGTTAAAGAAATGTATACATTTATGTAAACCCCTCTACATGAAAGTGTTGCTTCATCCTTTATTGGAGCATCACTGACTGCAGCTACAATTTCAGCCCTAAGCTTAACTTTTTTTTTTTTTTTTTGCAAAGTATGTGGTTTTCATTAAACCTGTAATTAGTATAATTAATAATTATTCCCTAATTGAAACGCAGGTTAACAAACTTCCATATGTAAAAAGTAAAGGGGGGAAAAATGTCATTCATTCACACTGGGCTTTATAAGCCTATAAAACTCTTCAAAGGACTTCAAGATATCAAGCAATCTTTTATTCAGCTAAACCTACCCCCCACCTTCCCTCTTACACACACTTAAATACGCAGTATGCTCACAGCTTGGAAAAAAGCAAGAAAAGCCTTAATGGATCACTGATTTTAACCAAAGAGCTAGGTATGTATTCCATATAAATGGTTTCCAAACCATTTTGGTGTTAGTATTAATAATTTTCATCAAATGCAAACAAGCGTCTGGGCGCTATAGAAAGCGAAGCTTTCAGCTGTGCACTTATTAACACAGCTTTTATTTCAAGCTCCAAACATCTAAAACAATTACACTGGAGCAACTGTGTAATTTGCTCCTTTCTTTGCTACCCAGGTATAGCCTTTTAGACAGAGGCTAATAAAGATTTAGGGGTAAAGTGGTGAGTTGAGGTCCAAACTTAGTTCGTCTTTACGCCTGTGAGTAATTAATCTCAAAATGAATAGACTGAGACAAATAACATCAGGAGAGGTATTCACATGTGCATAGGTTGCAGTGCCCACCTCGAGTTAGATACTTTACAACTGATGTAATAAATCAAAGAACAGAATAATTATTTCCCAATTTACCGTGACACAGATATCTTGTCATCACCCTGATTATATGTACCTTTAAGAAGTGGTGAATGCTAAAAATCTATTTAGCCACATCAGTGAAACAGAGCTAACACAGCAGGAAATAGTCCTTTGTATTTCTTTTTTTAAATATAAAATCACTTGTAAAGATATTTGCTCATATTAGAAGCCAAATATTTTCTATGTGACTGAGGATCAGAATTTTGTACCTAGGACATGACTATTTGCTTTTAAGTGGTTACTTATTTAAATAATTTAAAATATTTTCCTGTTGGGGATATTTTATGTTCTTAGAAAAACACTAGAAAAGCGCTAGAAAAGTTCTCTATTTAGTTGTGTGCTTTGTGAGCTGTGCATTTATCTGAAATGTTTATTTGCAATTTAAAAATAGATTATCTTAAGATTTGCACAAAATATTTGTTATTTAGATTGGAGAAGTCTGAAGCACAGGTATAGACACCCTCAATGCGTGCTTTTTCTGCAGGCATTTGGAACTGATGGAGTTATTTGTTCAGAAATATTTCTTCAGTAATTTTTCTCTGCATTTAAAAACACAGCACTGAGCTAAAATTTAACATTATGGTGAACTAAACACTAAAATGTTCCCTTAATATCACACTTTAATTTTAAAGGAGTAACAAGTCTTGGAGAAATTGCCGCTGTGAGGTCCACGGCAGGCACTGAAATATTATAAGCTCTGCTTTCATAATGCTGCCTTTCAAAATCAGTTATCTGTAGTTATCTTAAAATCTGAGTGCTTTCCAGAACACCAGATTTAAAGTTTCTCAGGAGAATATACTGTTTCAATCAGATAGAGTGCACGTTAACAAAAATCCTTACAATTCCCTGTTATCTTTGTCCTTTTTTAAATGGGAGAGAGAATGCAGAGGATAATGACTTATGCTTGAATGCAGTTCAATGTATTTGTGTTTTGTTGATAAAAATATGCACCTATATATATATATATAAAACCAGGCAGAGGTATGTGTTTATTTGTTATGAAGTTAAAAAAAGCTCTCACAGTTCCCTCACCAAGATTTAACAAGTTTGTCCTACTTGCACATTACTGATAAATGTCAAATCCTGCTCAAATAATAATCAAATTCTCTGGGTGACTGAGCATCTTTTCCTGACTTAATCTGTCTAAACAGGTACGGATGTATGAAAAAAAAAGAAACCTAAAAACCTCGCTGTCCCTTCAGCTTCCCTGCTGATGACTGTCAACTTTTAAAAACAATTTTTAAGCTGGGGTTGGGAAGGCAGGGAGAGAGTAAAAGCTCTTTTCAATTACAGACGATCAGTGAGAACTGTGACATGATGGTCAAGCTTCTCTTAACTCTTAAGAATATCCTTCATAGTTCACAAATATGTTCAAACACTCAAAAGAGTTTGAGATGTGCACTGGTAGTAGGGGGAAGTCATATCTCTGCTGGTATTGAAGTTTTTCAGAGTTGCTAACAGGTGATTCCCATTTCTATAGCTGAATCCACACACTGCATTACAAGCTGGGGACCAAAATGTAGATTTATTGCATCTACAGGATCCTACTGCAGTGTCCTCATAGATAGCAACAGTTTATATTTTTATTTCTTGATCTTACTGCAAAAGTTTGTAGCATGTGCTTGTTACGAGCTCCAAACTTATTTCAGAGCATGGCAAATATCTAATAGCTAGAAAATTGGTAGTATGGTCTAGTCATGCCGTTTAGAGATGTGTGTTCTCTAAAAATCAATACAATAAACTTGCTTGTTCATTATCTGACTAGTAAAGTGTTCTGTCTCAATAGGATTTCATTTACACTGGGTAGGTCACCCAGGAGAGTAACAAACCTCTTAGTTAACTACTACATTTTGCTTTGATTCTTAATTTGTGAGTAATTACAAAATATGCTTAACTATTAGTTTTCTCATATGAAAATAGCACAAATGCATTTGAATGCATCTCTTGCATAGAATTTTATTTTTCTCACCTGAACTGGGAAGATGATGTTTCTAATTTAAGGGTATAAGTTTAATCCATTACTTATAATTTTGTAGACGGAAATATTCAAACAGTGACAAAATCTCTAAATACCCAGAATGAGACAGTTTTTTCTCCTTCTGGTTCAGTTTCCCTAATTTATTTTATGTAGTAATTTTAATAGACTAGGTCAATCTGACAAAAGTATTTTGCAAAGTAAATTAACTATATTTTTGTGGCACTACAGAGATCTCATAAAGGGCTGAATCTTCCAGCATTTTTCCTTGTAAGGAAAGTAAGGTCATATATGTGTGAATTTGCTCTTGTGCCAGAGTTGGAATGCGTAGGTAGGATACATATGCACATATTTCAAGTACTGGAAAATAAATCAATGCAAAATAGCAATTATTTAAGGTAGGGCATAGTCTTGGCATATATCTAGGCAGCATTTAGCGTCTGTGGGCATTATCATAGCAAAAAAGTAATATTGGAAATTAGCCTGGATTAGTTTCACTTGTAAAGATAATTTTTTGAGTGTAAAATACGAGGTTTGAGCCCTAAACTTGTATTTTCCAGTATGCACTGCCAAATCTTCACCTTGTGCAGACAAAACGTTTCTGCTTTGTTTGGCAAGACACTTATTTCTACAAGAGGAAGATGCAGCCTACATCAAAAACATTCTGATTGCTCGACAGCTTTCAGCACTTAACACATCTCTAAGCGTGTACTGAAAAACTACTTGGGAGGAGATGTATGTACATGAATCTTACCCCAAAACACTCTAGGAACTGATTAATCTGTTTTGTAAATCAAAGATTTCATCTTCACATTATAGCACAGCCAGATTAGCAAAGATGTGATGGCAGGACGCGGGATAATTTGCTAAGTCAAAATTAATGGCAAATAAAATCAGTTTCCCTTTGTGGTTATTTCCAGCCAGCTGCATCCAAATATAAAAGAACTATCAAAGGGAGTAAAATAATCAACCCATTAATTATTAACTCAGAACAACTTCAGAAAGCACTTCTTAAACCTCCATTGACACCATCCTGACAGGCTCCTAATCTCGGAAAGTTGTTGGTAAGAGTTGCATTAGGCTCAGCATGCCACCAATTCTGACTGGAACAACTGCAACTCGAGATGTGCTGCAGCACAGATAGGAGCACATGGGACAAGCTGTGGTCTCTTAAGACATCTGTGAGTAACATTTACAGCACAACATGCTCTATAATTCCCCACGTAGCTCTACCTCTGCTGTCAGCATAATAGAGTTGTCAACAGCCTAATTGCAAGATGCAATATGTAGGGGGGTCATCCAAAAAAAAAAGAAATCTCAGTGGAAAGTTACACAAATCAGCTGTCATTATTATAAAGCTGGACCAACCTTTGGCTAAACCATTTAAACCTCCAGATTAATCCCTAGATTTATCTTTATAGATTGGATCAAACTCAAAGTTTGACTGCAGATGAAAGAGGAACTTCAAAACGAAGGCTCTCATTTATGCCCATTAGACAATGCATTTGGCTAATGATCTACAACACACATTAGCCTGGAAACAGTGGTTTTAAGGCTTAACTGTTGCATCTTTTTTTCTTTTCATGTTATACTTCAATCTTCATTTCTGGCTTTTATTTCTTAAAGCATTTTTGTCAGAAGGTGAAAATATTTTTTTTTTAACTGAAGATGTTTTTTTAGTTTCTGCCTTTGCCTTTCTGCAAACTTATATGACTAAATATCTAGTCTAGAAGTTAACTTGGAAAGAGCTTATTTGATTATGTGACATCAGTAGATCTGTTTATTGCAAAATGTATCTGCTAAATCAATCAGTTAAATTAATTTGAACAATTTTTAAAGAATTTTATGTCACTGATATAAAATACAAGCAGCAAAAACCCCCAAACAATTAAAGCCAACCAGTTTTGAATAAAACAGTTCAGTGAATTTAGTTGGTTTTTATAATAGTCATCTGAAGCTACTAAATTTATTCCTATGTATATTAAAAACCTGACATCATGAGGCTATTCTAACTCCAGTTTCTTTTTTGTTTAGAAAGAAGCCAAGCAAACTCAGTCTAAGCTATCCAGTCCCCTCCTCCCCCCTGCTGAACAGCACAGGCTAGTAGTTTTTATTCTTAAAAAAAAAAAAGATACTAGCCATTCTTTCATCTTATGGGGAGACATTTAAATTTAGAGTAATTACAAGACAACAAAAGCAGCACTGAGCATGAATGACAAAATGCAGCTCAACTTGATGTTTTAATGCAGTTTTCCCCTCTCATCAGGGATATTAACCCTTCTGACTACTTCACTGAAGATTCTTACTCTGATTTCCCAGACCATAATGTGAAAACCAGCTTATCAGAATGTTAACAGTTTATAAACATGGATCAATGAATTCAAGTATATATTTTTCATATACTACCTCAAATTTCAAGACTATGTATTTCTTGCTGTTTATGATATAGGCCTTGCAAGGAGCTAGGCAACAGATCTGTTAGAATTGTTCCTGGCTGGATGTAAAGAGGAGAAAAGCAAGCTTACTGCCTTATCTCAATCAAAACAATTAGTTTCAAGAAAACTACAATCAATATAATTTCCTCTTTTAAAAAATTGTTTCCTACCTTTGCTGGCCTTTTTCATCTGTTTCATTAAAGGTGCAACTTTTATTGATGCTTCTGCTCATCCTATGTTTTCATCAGTGTGAAACCTAAAATGCTCTTTGCCTAAAGTGTAGGTTAATATAATAGCTACTTGAAGCAGGAAACCTCTGCTATGTGTCTATAGTTGTCTTTATTTGGGCCTGTGCAGCATTTTGTTTGTCCTCTAGCCTTTTACGGCAGCTGGACCCTGACCTTCAAGTTCTTAAAAAGAGGGGGGGAAAAGTATTCTTTTCAGATTCCAAGTTCCTCCCTTTTTACCCTCCCACTGACACCGTCCCATTCAATACTAGAGATAACTTTATTCATCTATACATCATTGTATCAAATTCAATAGGCAAACTGCTTCAACATGCTTCAGAGCTGGACAGGGCAGTAATGTCTTCATTTTTTCTTAATGCAATGAGTTTCTTATCGCAGTCCTTTCAAGCACAAAACAAACACTGTAACAAAAAATGATCTCCAAGTTTTTCCCACCCTGCTATTTCACCATGGGCTTATTTCTTTGTTCCATCTTTTAGTGGACAGCTACAGATACAAAGATGTAAAATTGATTACATGCATACCTACCTAACAGGAGTTAAAAAGGGAATTGGTGGAGGAATCTTATATAATTAAATACTGTATTGAGAAGATTTACTTTGGGCTCACACCAAGAGCGTGGAAGTAATTTGTTCCTGAATCAGCTGCCATCTTTTAAACAGGATACCAAAATTAAGTGGCATCTAGAAAATCCAGTAGGAATGCCATGTCAACTGCAAATCTGGCTGATCACTATCTGAAAAGATGGACTTTTTTCCCAACTCCAGTCAGTGCGGATTTATATACCTGATGTTGTAAGCTCTCAGTTTGTCATTAACTGCCAAACTTGACTTTAAGCCAATGGCAGCAGCTCCCTGGATGTTAGGAGAGCTCCAGCAGCAAGAACTTCAGCTTTTCCTCATTGTTCTGAGTCCTGCTCACCTGCAGATGTGTTTAAAGGAAGGGAATTGAATCCTGGTCACACATGCTCATGTTGTAGTGTGGTTTAAGCTCATTAGCTGAGCTAAAAAAAATGCTATGAACATACTGATAAGAGAGATAGATCAGTATTTTAATGAATCACTTCAAAGGTTTTGTAGTGCCTTTTTATTGTAGCATGAAATATGTAATATTAGGATACCCAAGTCAAGCTCATGTCTCATTGACGTCTTTGTCTTTTAAATGGAAAGTAAGGCTGGAGGGGAAAAAGTTGGTTAAAATACAGAACTTCTGAAGTGCTTAAACCAGCTAATGGTACTAGATCTCATTTTAGATTCCAGGGATAAAAAAGAAAGAAATAAAAAAATCAGACTTACATCCCTGACTGGGTGTTTTCCACTATAGGCCCTACATGTTTATGTAGAGGGTATTGCGAACGTTTGGAGGGATTTGGGACTTTCAAAAGGAAGAAGTTTATACATTAGTGCTGCAAGTTGCAAAACACTGTTGATATTCAAATGTTTATTGTGTAAAATCTGGGATAAGCTTCAGCATGAGAGCTCCTTTAAGTGCCTACAACTATTGCTAATTCCCCTCAGCATTGAGGCTTGCACAAAGGCCTTAATCCAATTCCACTTTTTTTTTTTTCAGAAAGCCTATGCTATTTTCTCTCACATAAACTAACAACACTATCCCATCACACTGCAGAATGGGTCAAAGAAAAAGGGCTCTGTGTTTATACTTCACCAACACTTTGTGTTTCTTGGCCAAGTATGGCAAGAAACTTTAAGTGCGTCCCCCAGGCCCCACGCCATCTTTAGAAAGAAAAATAAGCCTTCAGAGATTGAAAACACACTATTTTAGGGACTAAAAAACCTATGAAATGTCAACTATTCTTTCAGTCACTATCCCTGAAAAGAAATTGATCACCCCAGCCTCATTTTTCCAGCTCTGATTTGAATTATGAAACACAGGAATTGCTTTGATATGATAGTTCTACCTAGTTTATAAAATCCTTGGAGATATTTTAAGAGTTTCTCAGATAATATTTGTGAGTACACATTTTACTATAACGCTGGTGCCTACTCATCAGAATGGCTTCAAGCAGTAAGTTCTATCAGAGAAAAGAAATTCTGTAATGTCTGCAGGTTTACTTTTATGAATCAAAAAATGAACTGTCTTGGTTTATAAAGCATATTTGTAAACTTTGTCAATAATCTGTTCTATACAGGAGATCCCAGTCCAGCTCCAAGTGGTCAGGTATTCCCTGTATATAAGCCTTCACTTATTCCTGACAATGCCAGCAGTGTTGTCAAGGTTTAAACAACAACAAAGCCCGGGCTGCTTTGAGGATTGACCTTCCACTGGCAGGAGGGGAGAGGCTGCTCTGGCTCCCATCTGATCATCTTTGAAACCCTACAACAAAAAATCTGCTATAACTAGTGAGGGTGCTAAAATGCCAGAGCATAAACCAGCCTTAAAAAAAGAGAGGAAAAAAAAAAATAAAAAAAGGTTTGGTTTTAAGCAAGAATTAAAATTTATTGTATAATCAGGGCTGCTTCGTTTATAGCACAAGAACACAAGTACAGCACCGGTTGTGCTAATTTAGATAGCATCAATTCCAGTCTCCAGAGTAAGCTCATGGTTATTGTACCAGGAGGAATTCAACCTGGAAGGGGAATCACTTACTGAAGGTTTTGACAAGGTGGAAGTTATTCTTCTGTCACACAGACTTTTCTCATGAACATGTGTCTTAGTGGCCAAGCAAAATCTTCCTGTGGTGCTTGGGTTTTTTGTCTATTTTTTTGTGGGTTTTTTGTTGTTTTTTTGTTTTGGTTTTTTTTTTTTTTTTTTTGCTTCTCTCTGATTATATTTATACAGCAACTACAGCTACTGCAGTAAAATCAAATGAGTTTTTCTTTCCATGAATTATGTTAAATACACCTAATGTTCCTAGGGGTTTTGCTTCCCTGAAGAGTTTTAGTTTGTCCTGGGGACCTGTTTTTGCCCCACCACTCAGGAGGAGAGGGAAGGACCTGCTGCCCTCCTGGCCTTGCACTGCCCCCTGCAGCCACCGAGCCCTGAGCTGTGCCCTGCTCCCGTTTCCCCAGGGTTAGAGCAGGGGGACATCCCCACACGTGTGGTGACTGCAAAATCTCACAGAGATTTTTCACGGAGACTGTAAAATCCATGTAGCCCATGTTGTGCACAGGAGTGAGGCTGAAGCAGAGTGTTCCAGTGCATGCACAAGGTGCTCGTGAATTTACATGAACTTAATCCACTGTTTCATCCAAATGTGATAAGATGCTGGAGAGTGATGGTGGCTGCTTTGAGGCACTATTTCTTATCAGACACTGAAAAAGCACGTTTTCCAGGGTAGTTTATTTCCTTCAGCACTTTTTCTGAAGTTGTTCATGTGTTTCCATGGTCTCTTCTCTCCTGACTGGCTTTTAGCCCTTTGGTCCATGTCATACCTGTTAGCACACATGAATTAGCAGAGTGCTGAAATCACATTTTGAGGGTTTGGATTCTTTGAGTGGCTTGCAAAGCTGCAGCTATAAGAGGGTTTTATGTGTTGGG